CGTTGTCCAAGCACAGCCGATCTCTCGCTGTTCAGCTGACTGTGGTGGATAGCGGTACTTACGGACAAGGCAGAGTTTTACCTCTGCCTGCTGTCAATCCAACGCGTCGTTTTCCACTGGTTGTTTTCTCGGTTAGCTGGGTTAGCTGCCGGGCGTTGACACATATATTATGTGTCAAATGTGAAAATTATGTGAAAATATTATGACACATATTTTCTCTATTGTGTAATTTACTAGTTAGAAAGTCCAACAACACATATTCAAGAACAGTCCGTTGACATTGTGTTTTGGGTTGAACCTTATCTGTTATCTAGTTCAAGAGGACACATTTCCTGGCACAGAATGTCAGCAGTACTGTACAGGTGTTTTCCACAGTTCTTCTTAAGGCTGTTGCTCCTCACTCCCAGTAACATATACATTGGATTACACTCAGTGCTAATGGAAAAGATATTGACCAACTCTTTATACTGAACCAGAATTGTTGAATTTTCCTACAGGACCAAATACAGTGAGTTAGATTACCCACCTCTATGTTACATTTGGGACAAAGCAGAGGAAAGTCTGGATTAAATTGATGATGCAGATGTGGAGATGTATGAGCCTGGTGTAAAATTTTAAGTTGAATAGCTTTAACCTTATTACAAACACTCAAATATTTAGCATTTTCCCAATCTTCATCCCAAGCCTCAATGCTGATCGCTATAGCTAGCTCTTTTTCCATGTCTCCTTTAAGATAGTCAGTTTCATAACCCCCAGTTTTTTTAATAAGTTATAACAGGTCTTAATAGAGCTTATAATTTTTGGCTTAAATAATTGATTTTCACAATCAGAGACATTTTGGTTGCTGAGCATCATTGTGTTCTTCAAAATGTAGTCCCTCACCTGTAAAGTAAATACCGAAAGAAAGTTAACACTACAGATTTTTTTGATGTTAGCACCTATGAGAGATCTAAAATTGTATGGTTGAGAGATATTAAGGCAAAGAAAACTCAGTAGCTGCAGGTAGGGCCCTCCAGACATTCAGGGGCACCTATGAATGGCTGAATTGTAACAAAGTCCACAGATCTAAACCTGTAGCATTAATTTATTGAGAATGATAATGCTATTACATTTTATTTAATGCATTCAGAAGAGAAAGAAAATGGTACACTTAGGATTGAATTAAGACGACATGTACTTTGTAAAAGTGCAAAGAATCATCTTTATAGTTTGATTGTTGTGTTACTATGTCTACAATATGGTGTAATCTAGCTAGGCTTTGTTCACAAATACTTCAGAGCAAATAATAACCAATAATCAGTGCTTGATTTTAACCTGGGCTCCCAATCACATACTTCACTAAATCCATATTTAAACACTGTAATGCTGAGGTTCTTAGTAGGAGGGAGACATTGGGCTAAGTCTTGTAAAGCCCCATATTACCTTGGGCCGGCCCTCCATGAAGAGTGAGCCGCTGAGCTGCACTGCATTGGAATCTACCTGGAATTCCATGGTAGCCCCTATGCCAGTCTGCCGATGCTTTTGGGACATTTTGGTTTAATTTAATTGCGACATGTTTGGCTTTATGCTGTGATCCAAATTACTGGTACAATACAGTGATATTTTGTAAACTCCAAATGCTATTGGCCGAATCTATCTTTAGCAGTTAATGTTCTGCAGTATTCACAACCGCTCACCTTCAGCCCAGATCACATCAGCAGCGGAGCGAACCACTGGTAATAAACCTCAAAGCATCACCACGACGCTTTGAGGTGTGTCATGGTGACAGTCCATTCAGGAATGATTAGAAACAGATATTCTCTTTATGTCGGTGGGACCAACTCAGGCTGCATTTAGTCCACCACTGGGGCAGTCTGATAAGACTAAAGTTATAGTTTTCTCTTGAGATGAACCAGTTCTGTGTTTATGGGCGAGGAGGGTTTTTCCCACTCTT